TTCTTTTTTTTTCTTGCCGTTGCAGGTGAGAAGAAATAATATGAGACTTTTTTGGGAGAAATCTCCAAGAAACAGAGTTCTATCCAGCATGCTTTTTGTCTTTTCTAGAGCAATGCGGATCTTATTGATGGTACCTCCTTCAGTCTCGATTCCTGTGTTAGGACGACACAGCACAGAGTGACCTCTCACCTGACCCATGATGAGATGCAAATAAATGAGGAAGAGGATTTTTGAGCCACAGAAACTTAGAGGTTGTTTGTCACCGTGGTTTAACCTAGCCCCCACTGACTGATGCAGGGCTCACGAATGAGTCAGAACTAGGTCTGGACATGTGAAGTGCACTCCTCTAGGCTAAGTAAAATTCAAGTCTTGTTGCAAAGGTAACAGTGAGCACGATGTGTTATTAGCATGAGTGTGGGATACATAAGGTATGTCAAGTGAGAATAATGAGAAACTCAACTTTTTTTTTTTTTTTTTTTTTTTGAGATGGAGTTTCGCTCTTGTTACCCAGGCTGGAGTGCAATGGCTCGATCTCAGCTCACTGCAACCTCCGCCTCCTGGGTTCAGGCAATTCTCCTGCCTCAGCCTCCTGAGTAGCTGGGATTACAGGCACGCGCCACCATGCCCAGCTAATTTTTTGTATTTTTAGTAGAGACGGGGTTTCACCATGTTGACCAGGATGGTCTCGATCTCTTGACCTCGTGATCCACCCGCCTCGGCCTCCCAAAGTGCTGGGATTACAGGCGTGAGCCACCGCGCCCGGCCTGAGAAACTCAACTTTAAAAGACAGTGCTAATTTGGACTGTGGAAAGATTCCAATGTCCTACTTAGCATTTGAGACTGGGGTGGCTGAACAAACTCATTACGAACCCTAAATGAAGGCTTGGGATAAATATCCAAGGGTGTCTAATATACCAATTATTCATCCTAGAATGGGCAGATTCCTTAACCCCATTCTAGGGAGACTTCCAAAAGAAAAAAGACCTGCATTTCTCCAACAACCCACATCGAGAGACTGTCCTGTTCTGAGCTGTGGCTAACACTCCTCACCCTTCATTCTGTCCTCAGTGTTTTGGGGAAACACCTTTAACTCTCTATGACTTACAGGTTAATAAATGGCCCTTACAATTCCCTCCAGAGATAGAAAAGACTAATGATGAGGTAGCCTGAGCTCACAGCAGCAAGCGGGCATGTGTGCTCTGCAGCCGCGTGTCTCATCTGCTAGATTACTACATACGATGTTCTGCAACATTGCTTAACACAATGGGACTCTCTCCCAACTCAGAAGGTTTAATTGCTCACCTACTTATTTTTCTGCCCTCTTGGGCTCCTAAAATGAGAAGAACTCTGGGGTGATACAGTGAGTCAAAGGAGTGCCAACCGTATCACAGCAAAATAAAGATCCCTAAAAAATCCCTGGCCTAAGATGACAGCCTCGGCTGGGTAAGTCTGAATGTGCTGACAGTGGACATGGGAGCATGAAGGTGGTCAAAATGTTCATATTAAAGAAGTTCCGGCCGGGCGCGCTGGCTCACGCCTGTAATCCCAGCACTTTGGGAGGCTGAGGCGGGTGGATCACGAGGTCAAGAGATCGAGACCATCCTGGTCAACATGGTGAAACCCCGTCTCTACTAAAAATACAAAAAAAATTAGCTGGGCATGGTGGCGCGTGCCTGTAGTCCCGGCTACTCGGGAGGCTGAGGCAGGAGAATTGCCTGAACCCAGGAGGCGGAGGTTGCGGTGAGCCGAGATCGCGCCATTGCACTCCAGCCTGGGCAACAAGAGCGAAACTCTGTCCAAAAAAAAAAAAAAAAAAAAAAAAGAACTTCCACACAGACTACAAGAAAAAAGGGAGGAATGGAGATGGCAGCAAGAGTCCCTACAATAAAAGCAGATGTTTTGAGATCAGTTATATTCTTTCCGACAAAAATTAGAGACAGAAACCAAAGTTTAGCCTGAGGCGACAATTAACTGGGCAATAAGCCAGAGGCACATGTGGCGTAGACAGATTTAAATATTTTCCCTTATATTAATATAAATACTAAATTAATATCATATAAATATAAACACTTGGGTCTATAGTAGTTTTAAAGGAGACCCCACAAACGGGTTTGGCTTTTGAAGGTTAGCACTGATGGTCCAGAGAATTCATTTTGGTCCAGAGAGAAATTTATTTCATTCCTGAGAGAAAAAGACAAGAATTTCTCGGGTCCCTTCAGAAAGGCGTCTGGCTTTGCCTCACCTTGTATGTTTGAACTTCTGCATACAGCAGAAGAAGACAGGAATTCACAGATTTAAGGTGTGAAAAGTCACTGGGTGCTTTAAGAAGCCTGGGATTCTCCTTGGAAAAATAAGTTTGTAGAGACAAAATGAGTTGGAGAAGTCTGTTATTGAAGTGAAGTAGAATTGCTTTTAGTAATCTGCTTATTACCCTCACCCTCAGCCCCTTAACCTCTAACCCTAAACCCTAACCCCTTGACCCTAATCCTACCCCTACCCCAATCCCTCATCCTACTCTTTAGCCCTGACCCTTGACCCCAAACCCCAAACCCCAACACCAACCCTAAACTTAACCCCTAACCCTACCACTAACCTTAACCCTTTACATCTGCCCAGATTCTCCAGCAGCAGCAGGGACCCTTGGCTTCCAGCTGTGCACCACTGCATCTGGCACAGGACTCCGTAGCAATCCCCAAATAGGCACCTGAATGCCCACTGTACCAGCCATGCAGTGGAAGCCCAGGGTGTATTCTCACCTCCAGAACCAGGGCCCAGCACCTGCATCAGGCTGCTCAGGGCTGAAGTGAGCTGGGACACCCAAGGTTTTCATAAGACCAAGGCTATCTCATGCCTGCTGTCACAGAGCGAGACGCAGACCCAGCAGCACCGCACTCCCCTTCCTTCCCTCTGCAGCAGCTCGGCAACCTTCCAAGTAAGGGGCTTTTCCCTGATGACACTCCAAGCACAAAGCACTGGACTTTCACACAGTGAGGCTGCACACATTCTGTGTAGATGCCCACCTAGGCCACTGGGAGAAAAGGCGGTAGAGGGACTCTCATGTTGCCCTGTGGTACGCATGCTCTGGTTTATACAACTGCAAGCCATTTATGAGAAACTCAAGCAAAACACTACTGGTTTCCAACTTTTTGTCGGTAGAGGACTTACAATGTACACTCCCAAACAAGCTAGCCACAGAGCACGCTGGCTACTTCCCCTCTTAAGTCGCCCTGAGGGCCTCCGCATCAGTCCTAGAATTGGAAGATTGGTGGAGAAGAACTGGGATGTTGAGGGGGTACTGGATACTTGCTGGACACCAGCCTCCCCTCACCTAAGCTTACAGACAGCCCCGGTCCCGCCTGACCAAATCAGACATTGTAACGCACACAGCTCTCGATAGCAGGACTTACAGATGCAAAACTCTAAGGCAAAGGACTGTATCAACTCCTTGGTGTCTCAAGGAACTAAAACACTGCCTAGGACAGGTGCACCATCAACCTTATCACTAAATAAGCCTCTATTTTTTATTCATCTTTGATTGTAGAAATGATGTAATAAACACAGTGGACTAAAGACCTTTGAGATCTCTTCACGGGTTCCTATCTAGTGGACCCCCAGATCTGCCAACACAGAGAAAGCATTGTAAAAATGTGCAGGACAGAGGCCAGATAAAACTGTTTCTCAGCCTCAAAGTGGCCTGGCAGTCACAGGAACAGCCACATGTGGTCTGGCCTGTATGATGAGTCAAGCTTTCAGCTTGAGGCACCCCACTGCACCCTCAAAACCAAGTTGTGCCTAACAAACAACAATCAGCCAGCCTACTCTCCCTAATGAAAGGTTCTTTCCGGGGCCTGAAAGCTTGGGGGATAACTCCTCCCTCCTCAGGCTCAGTCACAAGGTACAAGACCACTTGCACCAGCAGGGTGGGTCAGCAAGACAGCAGAAGCCAGAAAAGGGCAGGCTGGAAGACAAGTGCCCCCTGAAGATCAAGAGAGAGGCCATCTAGGTCCCACGTAGCACTTACATCAGACTGGGACACTTCCCATTTACAGAAGACTATAAAACCCCCACCTCGCCCTCACTTGGGGCTGACACCATTTTAGGCCTCAGCCAGTCTGCAGCCAGGCACTCATGGAAACAGCATGTTGCTCCACACCACCTCGAATTGTTTGCTGGCACTCTCAGGGTGGAACCAATAATAGAGCCTTGCACCTAATATCCCAGGTAGTAATCCAAGAGTAATATCTGCCTGACACCCCTCCTCCTCCACCCTCCATATTCAAGCGATCACCAATGATATAGGCCAGCCAGGCAAGGTAGCTCACGCCTGTAAGCCCAGTACTTTAGGCGGCTGAGGCATGTGGATCACCTGAGGTCAGGAGTTCGAGACTGGCCTGGCCAACATTGGAAAACCCTGTCTCTACTAGAAATTCAAAAATTAGCCAGGCGTGGTGGCAGGTGCATGTAATCCCAGCTACTTGGGAGGCTGAGGCAGGAGAATCGCTTGAACCTGGGAGGCACAGGATGCAGTGATTCGAGATCACACCGTTTCCCTCTAGCCTGGGCAACAGAGCAAGACTCTGTCTCAAAAAAAAGAAAACAAAAGAATTAGTATAGTTTTGTCACCAGCGAAGGGGTTTTGTCCCAGACCCCAACAACAGGATTTTGGATCTCATGCAAAATGGAATTTATGGTGAGTCGCAGAGTCTAGTGACATTAAGAGAGTTTATTAGCCACTACTAAGTGACAGAGCAGGGAGTCCTCAGAAAGCAAGAGGAGGAATGCACCTGTTTCAAAGAAAAAAATTTTTTTGAGATGGAGTTTTACTCTAGTCACAATGACATGATCTCAGCTCCCTACAACCTCTGCTTCTTGGGTTTAAGCACTCTCCTGCCTCAACCTCCCAAGTAGCTGGGATTGCAGGTGTGCACCACCACGCCCGGCTAATTTTTTTGTATTTCTATTCCATTTCAATTTTTTTTTATTTAATTTATTTTATTCCATCCCCATAGAGACTGCCAAAAATTGCCAATGCCAACTATATTTCCAGTCATTATGGCAGGGTATTGGGAAAAGTTTTCAATTAGCAATAATCGCGCCTTGGATAAACCTCATTGGCTGCAATACTGCCACTGTGCAAAGCTATATTTTTGTATTTTTGGTAGAGACTGGGTTTCACCATGTTGGCCATGCTGCTGTCCAACTCCTGGCCTCAAGTGATCTGCCCTCCTCGGCCTCCCAGTGTTCTGGGATTAAGTAATCACACCTGTGATCCCAGCACATTAATGTACAAATAGGATTAATGTTTGTTTGTATAGGTTATCAAGAACAGTGTTGTCTCTTATAAAAAATTGTGATCAGTTTGTGTCAAGCTATTAGTATTGTTACTTTTCTATGTCACTATTGATTTTAACAATAATTTGTGGGTGTACTATTATCTTTAAAGTAAAACTTATTTTTAAATTAAGAATGCTTTTTGCTTAAAGTACTGGTATATATTTATAAGTTTTGGGTCTTTATTTAGTTATTAACTTGTTCCTGCAACCATAAATATTTTATAACCAAAAGTGATCAATCCCTAAATATATAATCCAACAAATTTAATGTGTGTGTGTGTGTGTGTGTGTGTGTGTGTGTGTGTGTGTGTGAGAGAGAGAGAGGAGAGAGAGAGAGAGAGAGAGAGAGAGAGAGAGAGACCAGGTCTGACTCTGTCTCCCATGCTTGAGTGCAGTGGTGCAATCATGGCTGGCTCACTGCGGCCTCAAACTCCTGGGCTCAAGCGATCCTCCCACCTCAGCCTCCTGGGTAGCTGGGACCACAGGCATGCGCCACCACACCAGCTAATTTTTATATTTTTTGTAGACATGGGGGTCTCGCTGTTTTCCAAGGCTGGTCTTGAACTCCTAATCCCAAGTGATCCTCCCACCTTGGCCTTCCAGAGTGCTGGGATGACACTCATGAGCTTTGCACCCTGCCCAGATTTAGCTTTTTCTAAAGCTTTTATTTAAAATAAAGTCACTGTGGTTAAGATGCCTCTGACAGTTTTGCATTTTAAGTGTGAAGACTACGTTGAGTGAATTTTTCCACAAATTGTAAAATGTGCATCTGTGTTTATTTTATTCTTATGGTTTCCAATTAATTGTCCCTTCTTCCTTTTTAGAAACACACGGGCTAGTGGGCTCCGTGTCAGTTTGCATTTCCAGAACCATGGCGCTGAACACTCTGCACTCTGACTTCAAGTGGTGCAGCGGGATGGCCACCAGAGGGCGCGCGTCCTCTGCCAGCACTGAGAGCGCGAGGGCCCTGCAGTGCCCCCGGCCACCAGCAGAGGGCGCGCGGAGCAAGGCGGCAAAACTGCCTAACATCCAAGCTCCTCTAACAATCAGAAGCCCGACTTTACATAGGCTTACAACTCCAGATGTGACACGTGAAAGAGTCTTGGGGTTACAGTTTTAGACATTATATGTGAAAGGGTCTTGTTGCATGGAGTAGGTGTTGGGTGGGAATTTGAACTCGTTTAAGTTAAAATGACACCTTCCAAGAGTCTTCGTCCATGAAGTAGGTGTGGGGTGGGGGATTGAACTCGTTTAAGTTAAAACAATGCTTTCCGGAAAGATTCCCCCACACCAAGCGGGCAATCTATAGGAGGGCGGTTAAGGTGGCGCCCGGTCGGCCAGCCTTTACTTCTACTGAAATGCAGTGTGGACGTCAAGGGGGAGGTGAGCTTAGATGCTTGGGTCTCCTTCCTCACCAGGTCACCTCCTCCCTGCACACGGCCACTCTCCCACCTGGGCTACTTACCAGTCTCACTCACAATCGCTCTGAGCAACTGTTGAAAGAGGACAGCTGTGGAGCCTCTCCCTTGTCCAAGTCACTCTGCTGAGAGACCTGATAACTCGTCTCACTGAACCCTGGACCGTCCTGGAAAGAATACCTCTGCCCCTGTATTTCAGACAAAGACTATGAGGCAGTCAGGCACGGTGGCTCACACCTGTAATCCCAGCACTCTGGGAGACCAAGGCAGGTGGATCATGAGGTCAGGAGTTCAAGACCAGCCTGGCCAAGATGGAGAAACCCCGTCTCTACTAAAAACACAAAAATTAGCCGGGCATGGTGGTGGGCACCTACAATCCCAGCTATTCAGGAGACTGAGGCAGGAAGTTGCTTGAATCCGGTGTCAGGTCTCCATATGCAAGCCTGGAGCCTGAAAGTCTGAAGTCCTGCTTGCCTTCGATCATCTCCCACCCCCACCCCTGCGTTAGCCATTGTCCCTGAGTGTCCAGCGGAGCTTCCCCGGACAAGCCCCTCAACCAATCCTGCCATCTCGACTGTTCTTATGATAATGTGAATACCCCTCACCCATCCTGTCATCTTAACTGCTCTTCTGCCTCACCCCGCTGCCACTGTAACTGAACTTGTGGTCATGTACACTCCTTGCCCCTAACCACCACTGTAACTGATCTTACTCTGTAACTTTCCACTGCCGGCCCCAAACCTGTAAAACCAACTCCTATCCCACTGCCTTTTGCTAACGCCGTTTTTGGCCTTAGCCGACCTGCACCCAGGTGAATAAATAGCCATGTTGCTCACACAAAGCCTGTCTGGGAGGAGGGGTGGGGTCTCTTCATTCAAAGCGCGAATTTTCAACATTTTGGTACCAAAACCCGGGATGGGGGAACTCGTTCAGGAGACCAAATCCCCATCGCTGTTCTTGTGCTCCCTCCATGAAGAGATCAACCTACCAACCCGGGTCCTCAGACCAGCCCACAGACGCACCACTGGCTGTTTTGGTACGCAGTCTCTCTTTTTTGCTTTCCCATTCTTTTATCTTTTCCTTTCCACTTCCTCCCCCTTTCAGTTTCATAGTTTTTTCACCGCAAAGACAAGGAAAATCAGGTAAACCAGGTTCTTCCGAGAGGTTCAGGAACAGAAAAACCTTATGTAGGTCACGGATCCGGGGACCCAGTTTCCCCAGGGGCTTGACAATCGTGGAGACGTTCACCATAGTCACTCGCCCACCAGGCTTAGGGCCGATATTGGTGGCAGATCAACCTACAGGACGCTCTGTTTGACCGCTCACCAATGACGAGGTTCAACCCAGGCTCACCAAGGGATGCCTGTTGAGCTGCTGGGTTGCATGCCTATTCTCCTTGTCTCTGCTGCCTTTCCAGAACCACGGGCAATCGTCCATCCTCTATCCCTCCCTCCTCTCCACTGGCCTGTGTTCTAAAGAACCTCAAACCTCTCCAACTGTCCCCTAACTTAAAACCCAAATGTCTCTTTAAACACTGCGTTCTCTTTACTGGGCCACTGAATGGTTGCAATACAAGTTAAACAATGGCTCCAATTGGCCAAAAATTGGCACCTTTTCACCTCTATTTCATGAAATTAAGACAATTTTTGTCACAACATGGGCAAGTGGTCTGAAATTCCCTACGTCCAGGCATTTTTTTTACACACCAATCCCTCCCTAATCTCCACTCCTCTTTGCTTCCATCTGCCCCTCCTTCCTCTGCGGGTAAGCCAGAATCCTCCCTGTCCATCAACCTTCCGACCTTTCTCCTTCCCGCCTGTGAACTAGGCCCTCATCCAGGACTTAACCCCACCCCAGAGCCTTCCCCCATTCCTCTGCCCACAACCCGCCTCCTCATGCCCCTCCTGTCACCTCCCACTTCATACGCGGCCCAGCTTACAGTTAGTCCTGCGGCTAACTCCTCCTCCTCTGCCCAACAATCCCCCTTCCAGAGGTGGCTGGAGCCAAAGGCACAGTTAGGGTGACATTCCTTCCCTTTATCCAACGTTTTCCAAATCGGCCACAGGTTAGGCTCCTTTTCATTAGATCCTCCAATACTTAACCCAGTCCAATAATCTCACCTGGAGTGACTTAAATGTCACCCTTACTTCAACTCTCACCCCTAAAAAATGCTTAATATGCATTTTATCACCCAGTAAACCACAACATTACCAAAAGGTACAAAAATTAAAATCTGGCCCTCAAACCACACGACGGGCATTAGGCAACCTTACCTTCAAGGTGTTCAATAACAGGGAGAAATCTGCCCGGTGGTAGCACATCTCAAAACTACAGATGATAGCCTCTTCCGTAAGACAAACTCCAGCCACACCACTGGCTCTCAGAGACTTCAGAGCACCCAGACTGCAGCGCATCCAACCGACCCCCGGACCTTGCTGCATGTGTCAGAAACCTGGCCACTGGGCCCAGGAACGCCCGCAGCCCGGGACTTCTCCTGAGCCCTGCCCCGTCTGTGCCGGGCCCCCACAGAAAGTCGACTGTCTGACTCAGGTCACTGCTCCCAGAGTTCCTGAAGCTCCAACCCTCGGCTTGGCGGCTAAAGACTGATGCTGCCCGAGCATCTCAGAAGCTCCCTGGACCATCACAGACGCCAAACTTCGGGTAATTCTTAAGTGGAGGGTAAGTCCATCCCCTTCTTAATCAGCACGGAGGCACCCACCCCACGCTGCCTTCTTTTCAAGGACCTGTCTCCTTGGCCGCCATGCTGTTGTGGGAATTGACGGCCAGGCCTCCAGGCCTCTCACAACTCCCCACGTCTGGTGTCAATCAGGACAGCACTCCCTTCCACGTTCTTTCCTAATCATCCCCACCTATCCAGTTCCCCTGTTAGGCCGGGATATCCTAGGGAAATTGTCTGCCTCCTTGACTGTTCCTGGGCTACAGCCATGCCTCATGGCTGCCCTCCTCCCCAAACCCGTACCTCCCTCAACAGCTCCCCTTATGTCCCCCAACCTTAAGCCTAGGGTGTAAAACACCACCTTCCCATGGTTGCTACAAGTCACTCACCCCTCCTTATCCCCTTAGAACCTAACCACCCTTACCCTGACCAGCCCCGTACCCCATCCCACAGCAGCCTTTAAAAGTAAAGCTTGTTATCACCTGTCTATTGAAACATGGCCTTTTAATTCACCCTCCTGCTTCTTCGGCATCTGTACTCAAAGGGGCATCACGTATCCCCTTCCGAAGCCCAAATTTCTTCCCATCTGTCATAATCCTTCACCAGCATACACGTGCTCTCCCTGCCAACCACATCCAGTTAATTTCCCAAACCCCAACCCCCTCCACCAAACAACAGCTTCTCTCCTTCCTGGGTGTGGTTGCTACTTCACCTCAGGATATCAGGTTTTGCTATTCTAACTGAGCCATTGTATAAACTCACTAAAGGAAACTTATCCAACCCTATTAATCCCAAATCCTTTCCTCACTCCTCCTTTTGCTCCTTAAGAACAACTCTAAAAACTGCTCCCTCCTTAGCTCTCCCCAACCTGTCTCAGCACTCTTTCATTCCATACTGCTAAAGTCCAGGGCTGTGCGGTCAGGATTCTCACATAGGAGCCAGGACCATGGCCTGCAGCCTTTTTATCCAAACAACTTAACCTCACAGCCCTGGGCAGGCCCTCCTGACAATGCGCAGCAGCAGCTGCTGCCCTGATGCTCTTAGAATCCCTCAAACTCACAGGCTACACCCCACTTACCCAATAGCTCTCACTGCCTCCAAAGCTTTCTCTTTACACCGCACACATGTTCAGCCCCTTGACTTTTCCAGCTTTAAGCAGTTGCCCCACTGCTTAAAACACACCTCAAAACGTCTGTTTCTATTATTTCCTAACTGTGCCCAAATTCACGGCACTCATTTACTTTTACATGCCCTGCTTTTCTTTAAGTTGCTGGTTTACACATTTCCTCCAGGCAATTACAGCTGACATCTCACTTTTCATCCGGCTCCGGTTCTCTGCTCAAACACAATCCTGTTAATGAAAATGAGCGGTTGCTTATAGATGCCGCACACTTCCTCACACACCATGAAAACAAAAGCTCTCCCTCCACACAGTTACCCCACCAAGCCCCGTAACGGCCGCAGCCCTTGCTGGTTCCCTTGGCTTTCGAGTCCAAAGCTCCAGAAAAAATGTTGTTTTTATGTAAAGCAGCCTGGCCTCGTATATAATGCCATCAATAAATGAAGAGACAGAGCCCAAAAGCGCACGAATCAGGCAAATGGTTATTCTGGACCTGGTTGGACGGGTTGGATGTTGTCTAACTGGAGTCACGGTTCCTTCCAATCCTTACTCCTTTAATACCCATCTTTCTTCTTCTCCTGTTCGGACCCTGTATCTTCCGCTTAGTCTCCCAATTCATACAAAACCGCATCCAGGTGATCACAAATCAGCAGATGTTGCTCTGGACGACCCACAGTTCTGCATAGTGCCTCTAAGTCCCCCAGCAGCTTCAGCAGGTGTAAGGCAGAATGTATTGTCCAGACCCTCCTTATTTGCACTCCTGTCCTGTTCCTATTTCTACCCTGTCTCCCCCTCTCAAAAGAAAATATTTTTAGGTGCCCCCGCAGTCCCCTGTCAGGCACGAAGTAACCTTAAGAAACTTCGCCCTCACCCCCAGAAACCTGTGCTCACCCCCTCTTCTCTAATTCTTTCTCTCTATATATAAAAAGACAGGTATGTCAGGTCTCCATATGCAAGCCTGGAGCCTGAAAGTCTGAAGTCCCACCTGCCTGGGCTGATCGTCTCCCACCCCCCTGCCTGCATTTACCATTGTCCCTGAGCGCCCAGTGGAGCTTCCCCAGACAAGCCCCTCAACCAACCCTGCCATCTCAACTGTTCTTATGATAATGTAAATACCCCTCACCCATCCTGTCATCTTAACTGCTCCTTCTGCCTCACCCCTAGCCGCCACTGTAACTGAACTTATGGTACACTCCTTGCCCCTACCCCACCACTGTAACTGATCTTACTCTGTGACTTTCCACTGCCCGCCCCAAACCTGTAAAACCAACTCCTATCCCACTGCCCTTTGCTAACGCCCTTTTCGGCCTTAGCTGACCTGCACCCAGGTGAATAAATAGCCATGTTGCTCACACAAAGCCTGTCTGGGGTGGTCTCTTCATTCAAAGTGCGAATTTTCAACATCCGGGAGACGGAAGTTGCAGTGAGCCAAGATCGCTCCACTGCATTCCAGCCTGGGCAACAGAGCAAAATTCCATCTCAAAAAAATAAAAGACAAAGATTATGAGGCTATTGGAGGCTGTGACCAAGCACATGACCCAAGCTTTGTCGGCAGTAGCTGAATTGGAACTAGGTTCTCATGTTCACAGGGTGCTATGATGGCCTCCTGATTACAAGAGCCAAAGTGAGACTGGCACTTCCATTAACATGTACATATGTTCATCTGCAATCTATGTATGAGCATTTTCATGCATCAAATTTTGCCAGGAGTCTCTCATATTATCTTTTATTATAGTCACAAAATTCTGTGCTCTTCAGTATAAATACTTGCCTTTTTATAGTTGAACGCTGGGGATGCAAGCGATTTTCCACACAGCCAGCACCTACATTTTCCAAATGTGGTTTTCACCGTGCATTGGGATTTACTCGGGGTGGCTGGCAAAATAGGAGGGAAATATTAGGGAAAGTTAGAAATTTATAGTCTCAAACCTTTTGGAAGGCTGAAAGGTTTTAATGGAATGGGCTAAAGGCAGCCAGTTCATTATGTTAAAATTTTAAGTCATAGAGTGAAAGATGGGACAATCAAGTTTCCCCAGTGGTCTGTTTACCCACATCCCTTTGTCTCTATTCTAACTGTTCACTCATGTAACCCCTGTGCTGAACAGCCCTCTCAGCAGGAGGTTGAAGGGGAATTACACGTGAAGGGCGTTTTCTCTGGGCCCAAAACCAAAAGCTTTTATCATTCAAAACCACTCTTTCAACTATGTTAATTATCCACAAGTGTGTTAACTTAAAGCCTCTGTTATTAAATCTATACCAAATAAATGTAAGAAGGTACAGGGAGTCATGGCCGGGTTTGCTAAAACCACCCTCTAAAAGCAGTTAACAAACATCCCCGCCCCATCCAAAATCACTGTACTGGTCGTGAGTGCATTCATTCATCTGTGCCTAAGCTGGGGTCTGCAAAACAAACCTCCACAGGTGGTGTGGCTGTTTTATTGTTTGAATTCGTGCTGCATGACATGAACATGCATCTATCCCAGCTGCACTCCCACCAGAGAGGCAGCCGGGCTAACAATACCGCCAGGAGCAAGTCTCCTTGAAGGAGAATAAAACACCTGGCAGGATGTGACATTCTGAAGTGCGAGAAATTTTCAGGGACTAAAGTTTCTGAAGGTGGCACTTTGTGTCTCAGTCTCCATGGGGTCCAGAATTTGCTGCACAGCAGGAGGTGACAAGGAGCCGCTGGATTCTTGGGTGATGTTAACACTGGATGTGTGCCTGCTCTAAGCTCTGGAAGTCACACCTTTCCTGGGGTTTTTTTGTTTTGTTTTGTTTTGTTTTCTGAGACTGAGTCTTGCCCTGTTGCCCAGGCTGGAGTGCAGTGGTGCTATCTCAGCTCACTGCAACCTCTGCCACCTGGTTTCAAATGATTCTCCTGCCTCAGCCCCCTGAGTAGCTGGGATCACAGGGACTCACCACTGCACCAGCTAATTTTTGTATTTTTAGTAGAGATGGGGTTTCACCATGTTGGCCAGGCTGGTCTCGAACTCCTGACCTCATGACCTGCTCACCTCAGCCTCCCAAAGTGCTGAGATTACAGGTCTGAGCCACCATGCCCAACCTTTTTTTCTTTTTTAGAGATGGAGTCTTGCTCTGTCACCCAGGCTGGAATGCAGTGGCACAATCTCAGCTCAATGCTGCAACCTCTGCCTCCTGAGTTCAAGTGATTCTGCTGCCTCAGCCTCCTGAGTAGCTGGGACGGTGTGTGCCACTACTCCTGGCTAAATTTTGTATTTTTAGTAGAGACAGCATTTCACCATGTTGGCCAGGCTGGTCTTGAACTCCTGACCTCAGGCCCGCCTCAGACTCTCAAAGTGCTGGGATTACAGGCACAAGCCACCATGCCCAGCCCTTCCCTGCATCTCAATGTCCACAAATATTATAAATCACCTGCTTAACTGTCTAGGATTTTCAACTAATTGTCCAATGTCTAGACAAAGGTGCTTTTAAATATTTATAATAGGTCAGGATGTGGACTAGGATATTTTATCAATTGATTGATTGATTACAGTAAGGAAAACACCCAAAGTCCTCCAAAAGCATAGAAGTGCCTTTCCTATTAGATACCTCCACTGCTGTACATATTGCTCAGTTGTGACAAAACGTCCCTAATGTTCCGTTTTGGATTCCCTGAGGTGCAGCCTATGGTGTGGCCCTGGACTGAGGAAGCCCCTGAAGGAGGGAGGTGCACCTGCTGCTGTGGCTGCATTGTCTGTCCACACAGGGGCTTTCCAGCCAGACAGGTGAGTACCTGCAGCGATGCCCTACCGTCCACACCTGTCATCCTTCCTGCCCTGACTCCAGGTGAGGGCAGAGGGCCTCAGAATTACAGGTAAGTCATCCTTTTTTTTTTTTTTGAGATGGAGTTTCGCTCCTGTCACCCAGCAGGGAGTACAATGGTGTGACCTCGGCTCACCGAAACCTCTGCCTCTCAGATTCAAGTGATTCTCCTGCCTCAGCCTCCCGAGTAGCTGGGATCACAGGAATGTACCACGATGCCCGGTTAATTTTTTTTTTTTTTTTTTTTTTTAGAAGAGACGGGATATCTTCACGTTGGTCAGGCTGGTCTCGAACTCCTGATGTCAGGTGCTCTGCCCACCTGGGCCTCCCAAAGTGCTGGGATTACAGGCATGAGCCACCACACCCGGCCTCAGGTAAGTCTTCTTTACTCAGTCATTCAAGCAATTCTCATGCCTCAGCCTCCCATAGCTGGGATTACAGGCATGCGCCACCATGCCTGGCTCATTTTTGTATTTTTAGTAGAGATGGGGTTTCACCACGTTGGTCAGGCTGGTCTTGAACTCCTGACCTCAAGTGATCCACCCATCTCAGCCTCCCAAAGTGTTGGGATTACAGGCATGAGCTACTGCACCCCATCCAGTATCTGGTAGTTTTGCCTCTCAGTAGAAAGTGAACTATGTCAGGAAGGTATAATAGAAGGCATGGTAGAAGAATGACTACTGGGTCGGCCATCAGCAGAATGTGCTGTATACCCCATTTTCCCTCCCATCTCCGTAGGGGCCCTCCGCTTTCTCATTTGTTCAATCTAAGACCAACTCCTTTCCAACAGCATTTAATTTTGTGCAAATCTCACCTGTCTTTCCCAGTTCCAATTCCCGTCCAGCTAATGTTCCTTTCTTCCTCCACGCCTTCACACTCACTAACTCTTTACGGCCCTTCACTTTTCAACTCCTGCCGCCTTGGCTTCCGCATATAAGAACCCATGAGAGTTGCTTTTGCTATGCTTAAAATGACCTCTGTGTTAATCAAAACAATAGATATTTTTTAGTTTCTCATCTTAATTGACCCAACAGCAGCATTCTACACCACTGCTTCTCACTCCTTACTCAAAACTCTCTCGACCCTTGGCTTCTTTGATATCACACACTCTCCCATCTTCTTCCACCACCCCACACTCTGCCTTTCCTGCTGAATCTCTTTTACTAGTTTATACTTATTTTATTTGATTTTGAGATGGAGTCCCACGCTGTTGTTCAGGCTGGAGTGCAATGGCATGATCTCAGCTCACTGCAACCTCCCCATCCCTGAATTCAAGCAATTCTCCTGCCTCAGCCTCCCATAGCTGGGATTACTCAAAATCTCTCTCTCGCTTTTTTTTTTTTTTTTTTTTTGAGACAGGGTCTTGCTCTGTCGCCCAAGCTGGAGTGCAGTGGTGTGGTCATAGCTCATTGCAGCCTCAAATTCCTGGGTTCAAGAGATCCTCCTGCCTTGGCCTCCCAAAGTGCTTGGATTACAGGCATGAGCGACTATACTTGGTCACAAAATCCCTTCTTGAGTCCTTCTTCCTCAACCTCCACATGTAATCAACAAAATATATTGGATCTGTCTCCAAAATATCTACTTCTCCATCTCCCTTATGTTAATACATGAATAATTGACTCTTACCTGTTCTCTTCACATTCAGCCATTCCACTTCAAATCCAATCTATTCAATTACTATGCTACAACTTAAAAACAGAAGTCTTGGCCAGGTGGGTGGCGCACACCTATAATCTTGGCACTTCGTGAGGCTGAGGTGGGCGAATCACAAGGTCAGGAGATCGAGACCAGTCTCGCCCACATAGGGAAACACTGTCTCTACAAAAAATACAAAAATTAGCTGGGCGTGGTGGTGCGTACCTGTAATCCCAGTTACTCGGGAGGCTGAGGCAGGAGACATTGCTTGAACCAGGGAGTCCCAAGTTGCAGTGGGCAGAGATTGCACCACTGCACTCCAGCCCAGCCCATGAAGGGCTTTTCTGAATCCATTAGTCCATGTTTGGTCCCATCCTCATATACTTCTGGAGCACTCTGACTTTACCTTCCGTGACATTTATCCTCACTCACAATAATTTATTCAATGTCTGCCTTCCTGACTAGACTGTACAGTCACAAAGACAGGGCCTGTGATATTGTGCTGGCCTAGAGCCACAACCAGAGCAAAACTATTTTATAAAATGCAAAACTGTTTTTAGATAAGTTGAAATGGCTGCCCCATTCTCCTCACAATAACTACTGTCCTTGGCCTCCGTAAATAGAACTGCTGTTTGTTCTTCAAAACTATGTAAAGCTGCTTACCTTTTCTTATCAGTAACTGCCAGAATTGCTAGCCTTTGCTTACCGGCAATTGCCAGACTAAGCAGCCCAAGCTAGTCCCATCCTGGCTCCTGTGACTTGTAATAAGTAACTAAGGTCTGTGATTTCCACCTTAACCAGATAATGTGTAAACAAATGTTTATCTTGACTTCTGTAAACCATTTAAGTAACAAACGGAATGACAAAAGTCCCCTTGGCCCTTGGAATGTCCGGAGACCCCCACCCTCATCTCTGCCCAGGAGGTAATTTACAGAATCCACTAGCCCTGGGAATGTCTAAAGCCTTTTCATCCCCATCCCTGCCCCTCACCCCCACTCCCAAGGTGGTTTTTCGGGTATAAAAAATCGTGGCACCCTCATTTTGCCACCACAGGTTGGAGAGACGTGAGTCCTCTGTGGTCGCCGGCATAAATAAATGACCCTGCAA